CAAAATTATGCGGCTCTGGTAAATCGAACGCAATTCCTTCAACTTCCACACAGAAGAACTCCACGAGCAAGATGGCCCTGATGATTCATACAGAACTGCTAAATGCATTCGCAGGCCCTGCGCAACCGTGGCTTCGTACCATCTTTCTAGAGCTAGCTGCCAGATCTACTGCGCACACAGAGCATTTCTTCAGAATACCAGAAATACCAAGAGAGCCCGGGATTTCAGTGTGGGTATCCCCTGTTAGTGGCTCTTACGCGCCAGGCGCAACTATGCCAGGTCCTTATCAGAAATCACTGAAAATGATAATGCAGGCTCAGAATGTAAAGGAAAAAATTAATCTTTCTGAATTACCGCAACGCTATTTTTATCAAAAGAACGAAACACAAGCAAATAATACGTAATTTTGACAGCTCTGAGGTTGATAAACGAAAGAACAGAAGATGAATGGGTTACCATTTGGGCTGAAAATCCGTAAATTGATTGGTTCTGGTGAGATGCCCTTATTCTGACCCGTTGCTCGATCTGTTTCATCTTCGATTTCTTTCCGGATCATATCGAAGTCCGTAAACTTCTGACTTCTTTTGTGCAAAAATTCGCCGTACTCTGAAGTTTAAACTTCAAAATTTTTGAAGCAGCGCATCTAAACCATCTCTTTCTCCCATAGAATTTATCAGGTAAATCAGCAATTCCTCCTTCACCGAATCACGAAAGTCTCCTTCTCAAGCAGCCACTCTTTCAGCTGCCTTCTTTCGTCCCACCCTTTTGCACATCCTTGTACAGTCAGCAAAATCTTCACTCCACTCACCTCCGAATTATTTCGAGTGCGAAAAATGCGATTTTTTCTCGCAACTCAAGCAAGTTAGTCGAACCGAAACATGGCCTGCGCAGTGGAATTTTAGTACTTGATAGAATGGAAATTATTTTGTCTACTCTCTGCCGCTTATTTCCAATTCTTTCCGTACAAGCTTCGGGACATTTCCAAACATAAAGCGCGGAACTTTACATACCCACATTCATTCGCAGCTGACCAAGAACCATAATATATCTGCACCCTAATTTTACCGCAATTCTGCAGTCAATCTAACTGGACAGGCATAAGCAAAAACATGCAGACACATTCATAATGTGTCTTCATTTTTTTTTTACATGGACGCATAAGCCCATAAAATGGAATGAATTATGCAAAGAGACGCAAAAATAAGTGGAACAAAAAAGAAATTGCTCAGATGGAAAGAAAATTAACCGCACTGGAGGAGTAAAAGAAAGCCGGATAGGAAAAAGCAAAGTGTTGAATTTTGCAACAGATGCAAAAACTGTGCAAGATGCGTGAAAATGAGGGGAGAAATAGGAAAAAACGGTGCCATTTTCACCAGAATATGCGGAATGCGGAATAAACAGGGAACGGGAAGACCGACTGTGAAGCGAGGAAAGAGAAAGGGAAAGATAGGAGAAGGAGGGCTAAAACCGGAAAAAACACTCTTTTTCTAGGAGACATTAGGCACATCACTGATTGGGAAAATTTACCTGAGCGATCGTGCACCAGTTGCAAGATGAGCGGTCTGCGTGTAACAATTCCTGATCCACGAGGAAGGAAATCTCTGCAGTTAAATATTAAATTAAATTTAAAAGAATGTAAAGAAAATATTATAAGTGGGGAAACAAAAATGGTAGGAAATGCTCTGGTCCATGAAGTTGTACACATTTTTTACTAGTGGCAGAACCCTAGTAAAAGTAATGCAGAAAAACAAAAATATCCAGCCACTAGCTGTGGAGAAAACTGCAAAAAACCCAATAATTCTCTCCGAACGAATGAAAGCAGCTAGCGAACACTATGATTACTAGAAGGTTGAGCATCAAGGCAACGCTAGTTTGGAAGTTAGGGAGCTGTCGAAAGCGTTGATGAAACGAATGCACGCAAAAATGGGGCCACGGCTGACCGAACTACTAAGGTAAGGTTGATTTGCGGAAAAGAGGGGATGTGCCCAGAAAAAAGATTGAATTCTCCGAAGTGAATTAACTGGAAAAAATATTCTCACTTGCCAACAAAATTCTCG